CTTGTTTATTTGTTTTGGGTTTTCTGTCAGTCTAACTTAAAATGTAGGTCTTAGTTTACACTATTTTGCTTTTTTATTTTAATGGCCAGAAAGGACATGATTTCTTTAATCTTTAATTTGTCCCACACAAAATTGAGGTGGGGAGGGTTCTTCTTTTTGGTGGTTAAAAAACCCCAGATCATTAATCTGGCGTTGTTCTTTTTTTTCTTCTTCTTATAGTTTTACAGTTTGGTCTCTCAATTGAAAAATCTTTTATTTGCACAGCTTTACTTGGTAGCATCTTGGGTCTGCTGCTGATTCTAATGGGATGCTTTGGATGCTGAGGTCCTTTGAAAACCTGTTTTAGTGGTGTGTATCTTGAAAACTTCTTCCACAGAGCTTTCTGTAAACTTAGAATTTACAAAAATGTTGCCTCGTCCACTTGTAATTGCTGTCTTCCCATTCACTTTTAGCTTATGTGCAATATCTTATTATAAAGTGTATACATGACCTAATCTAAGTTAATTATACATATTAGTCCTGGACAGTTAAAAATGAATACATCTTTTGCTTCTGCAAAAATAAATGAAGTTGAACCATAAAATGTGTCCTTTTAAATTGCACAGTGACACTTGGCTTGTGGTGTTCCCTATTTCAATGAGGGATGTATTTTCTTGGACATTTAAATTGTGCATGTGATTCCATCTTTGGTCATGCAGAACAGTGAACTTAATCTAGCTACATGCCTGCACGCAGAAAAAGGGACAGTGGATGTGCAGATTAGATAATCAGTTTGGAAAATTTAAATTCTCTGTGACACTAAAATCGTTTCATGCCAGGTATTTTTTTTCTAGCCCAGTCTTTGTTATTGTTTTCTAGGAAATAACATCCTGTAAAATTAACTGACAAGAAACAAGATCTTGCAGAAGGTGCATTCCTGAAAGCTAACTGGGTATTATTCCTCCATTTTAGAGAGTGCAAACATGAGAAATTATTTGAAATGTAATACACACACACTCACACAAAGAGTACCTGTTTGGGTATTCCTTGATGATCTGATATATGCTAATCTGAATGGTTTCATTCTCAAACCGACTGCCACTTCGGTCCTTGTAAATCCGGAATTCAGCTGCTGTCACTGCTTCTCCATGTGGGATTTGAGTCAGGTCAAACCGAAATTCTTTGTAATGCCTTCGCTGATGAGAAAAGTCCTTGTCTCTTTCAACTATTAAAAAAATGTAATTACATTAAAGCAATAAAATTATACATTTCCCATGATTAACTGAACATTTGCTATGCTTAGAAATGAAAACCAAACAAACACGATGATAGAAAACTGTGCAAATAATAAAACCACAAACCCAGACATACTTCCAGTTAAAGGAAACTTCACAAGCCAAGTGTCTTCAGTTCAAAAGGAAAAAACCTCAGTGGTTTTATACAAATTACAGAGGCCAGAGTGGAAAGAACATCAATAAAGCTGAAAGGGGGCATGTTGTAAAGAAATACGGACAAAATGAAAGTTGCAGAAGGATCAGAGACTATACATACAGAAGCAATTATTTGGGAGCCATAGATGAGTTTGGAGTACAATATTGAAGTAATAATCAGGAGAAAAGAGAGAGAGTGGACCACTCCTGTCTAAGGCAATAAATTCTGATGTTAAATATGTAATAGTTATAGTACACTTAAGAAGCAGCTACTGCAATATAAATTAACACATGCTGTCATCTTATGGTGTAAGTGTCCTCTTGTCAGTGGTCTGAGCAAGAGAACCACCGGTCAGAGCTAAGTGGTTTTGGCACTCACACTGCAAATAAAGCATTTAAATACATTCATTCTCTGTCATTTCTCTAGTTATGCCTTGTACTTGCTATACAATTCCAGCAGAGGCTAAATCTAACATGGTAATTAGTTGATCAGGACAGCAAGGATAGTAAGCCAGATCTTCCAGAAAAGTAAATCAGGATGAATCATCTGACACTAGCTGAACTTTTCCCCTAGTTTCAGGAATGAAAATTTTTGGCAGACTAAGGGCTAAATACTGTTTTGCTTTACACACCTAAATCACATGTACACAGCCACATAACTGTATTTGTGAAGTAAAATTCCCCCATGTGTATGCCTGCTGGAATTAAAATAGAGGAGGAAACAAAGAAGAGGAGCCCTCCAAACTTTTAGCCCAATAGATTAGTTGTTTAAGCACTTATCCAGGAGCAGGGGGCCAGGTTCTAGTCTCACTTCATCATAAGGGGCTTGAACTGGTGCCTGACCCACTGCACCTTGCATTTAAAAGTCATTGGATAAAATGGATAAACAGCATTGGGAAAGTGTCTGCCCCATATTAGAGGATCACCTCCCCCTGAAGGCAGCTGCCATGTTACTGAGCCACCCACTGGCTTATTCTCTCCCTCCTGGCCCCTCTTTTAGCTGACTAGTGTGATAGTTTCAAAGGGAAGCCTGGAGGGAAGACTGGGTAATGCTGAGTCTGAGGTCTGGAGGTTAGAGCATTTCTCTCAGATGCTAAAACTCAAATTTCAAACCTCTTGTTGAGGGGGGCCTAGAAGCCACTCCTGGATAATTGCCATAGCCACTAGGCTATTGGGCTAAAAGGTTGAAGGAAATTTCTCCTCTTCGTAATGCTCACTAGTTCTAGTTTTTTACTAATAAAATGATTTGGTTTACTCAGCTTCACCCATGTGATTAAATTGATCCTAATTCACTGTGCAGATGCTCAGTTAAAAGGCAGGACTGCTGTGCATTCATTGGGTGTGTGCATGTATAGGGCTGAACTTAAAACTGTGCCTAAGTACCAGGAACTGTAGTTTTATGGTTTGAATGTGCCATTTGGGCACCTAAAATAAAATAGGATTTAGCAATAAGGCTAGGAACGTACATAGCATTTGTCTCTGAATTAGTTGTACCTGTGTTAGTTCTGGAACAGAAATTTCCTGGGATTGGAGTGCATGCACATCAGCCTTCTAATCAGGATTTAGTGAACAGCTGAATGCACTGCTGCTTTTCTGCCACTGATTCAATTATCCAATCCTAGGATAACCATTTGGATGCAATTTCAGGTGTCCCAGGATAAACTGTTTGTACTTTTTATCCCATTAACCTTTTTTTAGGATTTATCCTGGGAAAATAGATGTCTGAACAATTGCACATTATCCTAGGATAAAATGGTTCATCCTAGGATAAATATCTGTAGCTTAAGTGTAAGTTTCAAAATATATAAAGAAAAAACTCATTTTCTGGAAATTAGAGGTAATGCTTTATGATTAATTTTACTCTAAAAGCTTTTTTCCAATACATGCACACACAAGTGCATGTGTCTGTGTACAGTTCCCATGGGGCATTAGGTGCAGCAGATCCCTGCCACATTCATGTTCTGTACCTGAATGGATTTGAGATGTGCAAAGCCATTTCATCTACCCCACCAAGCAGGCAGCATTTGTTTACTAGTGATGGATGCAGACCCAAATGTTCAGAGTTGGGTCTCAGTTTGGACAAACATATACATGTCAAGCTCTGTTCAGCCCCACTATGATCTTTCTACCTTCTCCTTTTATTCTATGGAACTAGCTTAGACTCTGGATATAAAAGGGAAAGTAGGCTAGATGTTTGTGAGTGCATAGTAAGTACATATTCAGAATGTAGGGTTGGGAAACTGCACCTGGAAAAGAAAGCTTTGAACCTCCTTTCAGATTTTAGTTACATCACCTATGGTCACTTTTGATGAAAGTACAGTTAGGGACTAAATAGTCACTCTATCAAACATGCTAATCAGAAAGACTTTCAATTATATGGAATTGCTTAAAACATGCAAATCTGATGACAAGTTTGTCTTAATCACTGTCATGTGCAAAATATATTTTCTGTAAGACTGTCTTTACTGGAGTAAAGATGAAATTACTTTACTGACACAGAATGATACAACTCCTCTATAAGGTTTAGTTTGTTCAAACCCATATTTAGATGTGAACAATTTGTGATTTTAAAAGCCTAGCAGAGAAAGTCAAGAGAGAAAAAAGGCAGAAGTATGAAAACTGGCCACTCATAGCTCAAGATAAATGGGCTGCCACTGAGGAGAAACAGGATGCAGTCTATTTAGTTGCTCCATTGCTAGCTCCTTAACTGCAAGATATATACTGAGACCAAACCTGTTTCTGAAGAAAAGAACATTTATATCCTTTCTTTACTAAGAATATAGCAAGAATGAAGGCATGCAAATGCCTTAGCAAAGAAAAAGTTACTGGTGGTTGGTTTGTTTTCTCTATGACTACTTTGTTGTAAGTTTTTAATAACTGAACATTTCTGGAAGACTATATGGATGCAGCTGTGCCAAAGTTTTTGTCCATAAAATCATTTAAAAATAACATTAAATCAGGACCCAGTTCAGTATTTCTGGTTACTACTTATTCAATCAGGAGCTTTTATTTAAGGACTAATCACTGTCACTGAGGATGTCGTATTGGATTCTAAATGGGGATTTTGGCCTCCTTTTGCCTAGTTGCTTGACAGTACATTCTAATTAATAACATTTGTTTGGAAACACTTAAGCAACTTGGACACAAATAACAATGCACTTCACATTACAGTATTAATTGTATTCTCTCATGAGCACACACAACTGCTGAAAGAGTACTGATAAGTATTTGCTGTTTAGTGAAAAAATAATTAAAGCATGGCTGATGGAGATATTACTGATCTAGGTTGCATCTAGTTCCAAAGAAAAGTCAGTGTTGCCATATGGAAAGCGCACACGGGCTTAGTTGCTATAATGCATCCCCTGAGGACTAATCTTCAGCCAGAACAGAATTTAAAATTAGATAAGTTGCAATCACCAAGGATAAATTCCACAAAAAAACAAGAGTAATTAAATAAAGAGCTGGATGAAGAGATCAGCTGAAAATACAATTTCTGGGTGAAATCCCAACCTCACTGAGTTTAGGATTGACTTCATGGGGCCAGCATTTTAACTTGTAAATTCGGTATATCTTCTGAAACTGTGGGTGGAACAGAATAAGATTACTCCAATTAATATTTGATTAGAACAGCAAGGCCAGTGCTGACTATTGCAAAAATGTCTGAAGAGGCCCTTGGTTGTAATAATTAACCAGACTCAGATTTCTAAGTTTCAACTTAAAGCACATCTCCAATATACATGTTTAATACTGTATCGGGACAATTAATTCAGCAACAGTGCAAAGGAATCTTGAAGCATATGACTGCTCTTTTACCATCTGCTCATATTTTGCCACCCATCAATATGACCCATGAAACACTCAAGCTCATAATGTATTCAGATTACACTTCATTATAAACAAAAACACACCCAAAAGTAGGTCATCATTTATATATATTTTAAAAAGACTGGTATAAGTTCACCACTTGTGTGAATTTATGAGGCTCCATTGCAAATCAATGGAACTCTGCTGGTTTGTAACACCAAAGGACTTGATCCCCTGAAAAAATCAAACAACCCCCCTTTCTTCCCCTCAACACACACACATACATGGATTATTTAAAAAAGAAAAAGACAGAAAAAAATGATATCCAATTCAACGTAAGTTCTAACAAGGTATAGAGCAAGTTTGAGTATGTATAATGTACCAACAGCCATTAATAACTTTGACTTAAAGGGACAATCTACAGCATAATGTGGCATGTTACACGCGCTATTTTTTAATTTGATTATTGGAGGTTTTTTTAGCAAACTGTTGAACAAAAATTAAGATTTAACAGGTTTATTTTATAAACTGTATTGTAAAGGCCAAGATCCCAATTTAACATAAAGATATTACAGCTATGAAACTTGACTTCTATGAAAGTCAATGAAAGCTATGAAAATGACAGGTTCTTGTCATTTTTAGCTGTTGCAAATATCTAAAAGCAAACTTATGACCATTGCAGATCATGTGACTGTAAGATGCCATTTATACTAATCTCACTAAATTTCACCATTTGACTCTGAATTCTTCTCATAGCATGAAAGTAAACCAGTCAGTTTTAACCACTTCAAGGTGATAGAGGTTACAGTAAACTGATACACTACAAACTACACTCGTTTACATCTTGAATACAATGAAATGATAGTTTATCTATAGCGAATACTTGTGGTTATCTGACAAAAACAGGTCAAAGGTTCCAGGAGTTTTCTTCTGAAATTACTCAGTGCTGCTTCTAATGACTGATAATTAGAAGCAGAGGCTGGAAATATCA